TATATGGTAGGTAGCGATCCCACCTGTGAGGGTTTTAATATATGGTAGGTAGCGAATGACATGTTTCTGCTTTCAATTTATGAAAATAATTCCACACTAATTGGGGTTTACTACCAAGCCCCTTTTTTCAATTCTGGCTTAACGTACCCTTTTGGTGGCTGGTGATGTTTTGACTGGCTCTTCCTGTTGACCTTTGAACTTTGACACAAGTAGCTCTGCCATTGCGCTGACCTTAACTGCTGCCAGGGACTCTTCTTTCTGTTTGAAGTTTTCACTTTTGGTCTGGACAGTCAATTTGTTGGCTATCTCATCCATCGGCAGTTTGTTATACTTGGTCAGTTGTACATCACCATTTGTCTAAATTTGTTGGCATTTATTATAAAATAATTCCATTTGATGTCTCGGATTGGTAAATATGAGACATGCGGTCTGACGATGTCATAAATTTCGATAAAGCTTCAAACAGTTCTCGTTTAATTTCTTTACAAATAAGTATTCCCTCCTTAAGTGAACATTTTGAAGAAGAAAAAACACATGAAGAGAATTATTAATTTCAAAATTGTTGAATTAACCATTGGGTGATTTGGAGTTACAAAGCTATTTAGCTTGGTTGATATGTAACATATTAATGGGATTTACTCACCTCTTTGACCTCATTGTCCTTGAGTCTCCTCTTACTGAATGACGTTTCATGCTTGTCTCCTTCCTTTTCTTTCCTCTGTACATAAAATCACAAGTTACCTAGCGACCACCGATTTCATAAAAACATTAATCTCAGAATAAGATTTTGTTTCAGCTTATCTGATGACTGTGATTGTATTTGAGGTTGGTTTTTTAAAGTCATATCTGGAAACTACTTCTGTACATATTTACTAATATCAATGTTTCATTAACAAAACTTCACTATTTTATTGATGTAGTTTGAGAGAGAATAAAGAATATTTCCAACAGACCATTCCAAAACAAAGCTTATCGCAATATTTAAATCTATAACAAAGGTGAAAACATTGTATTCCATCACTTGTGAATGTTTTTCTCAAATTTATTACTTTCAGATTTGCAGCTATAAATCAAACACCAACCTTTTTCGACCTTGCGAATCGTGCGCTGACCCGCAGCTTCTGTAGGATGGACAGACGGTGATGGGGAGATTTATGACTCTTGTGACTATCCTCTCGGGGCGACTCAACTGTACAAAATAAACAGAAATTGTATTTTTACTTCAACAATTACACACCAAATCCATCCTTTATTTAAATTATACGATTAAGATTTAATACAAATTCTTACCTTTGAATAGAAAAACTAATTTTACTCAAAATTTCAAAATTCTCTCAATCGCTGATAGATGTGGGATACAGGTCTTAATGTTAATTTGCACAGACAGTCAATTGTGAATTCAAATACCAATACTTATACATATATTAGGCAGTGCATGCTTTTGAATTTATTATTCACTTCGTGAATTCAAACCTTGCAAATAAGCCATTTGAGAAACAATCGCAAAAGTAAGTATTTGATATAGTAATCATGTAATGTATCAAGCAGGCTTAATTGTAAAGTCTACGTTTATAAAAATAACATCCGACGCCATTGCCACTGAAGACTACTTTAGAATTCCTCAGACAGGAGGAGTGAAATGCAATTAAATTGCATCAAATTAGTTCTCATATTTGGTCAGTTGTCCCATATCCCCCTACATTCCAATCAATTATTTCTGACAAATTTTCTATTAAATGATGTCAATATTAGTATATCCACAAATCTGCATCACCAATATATTCTCTAAGAGACATATGATAACACTTCCCAAAATGTGTCTGGTTCCTATAAAACTAAAACAGTCTGATATCAACACAACGTACAGCTTGATGCTCGGTCTTTCCTGAACCTCTGGTAGAACTGAGACAGGTATGAGATCATTGCGAGTTTGTCTGTGGCAGAACATTGGGTCATCTCTTCTCCGGTCATCACAGGGGCAATTCCAAACTCCTTCTGGGCTATGTCAAACGCCAGCTGGCAGTTCTTGGTCCCCTCCTTGGAGTTCAAAGTGTTCATATCACTGTAATACGAAAAGGGATTCAAGTAAGAAACGTTATATTTTGCCTTTAAATTGAGCAGTTGATCCTGATTTCTTTGTTTCTAAAGAAATTCCCTTAATTTGTGATAATAGAAACTTCAAAGGAGTGCATTTGTATTAGGTCTATTTCAAAAAAGTTTTCGAAAAGTATCCACCACCAATGGAAGGCAAAACAACATAAAGTCTGTGGTAGGTTGGTGTTTGTAGACAATGGAAAATAATTTAAATAAACATCGTTTGGTGATGACCACATTAAAGAGCCTTTAATTTAGCATTCTTATTTATCAATTTTCATAGTTCTTTCATTGTATTTTCTGTGAAAAGGATTTTACATAATAAATCTTTATTTTTTCAGTTCTGCCCAGATAAAACTTTTTTCATACTCATCAGGGTTGAACTAAAAGGTTTGGAAATTACTTTTCATGTTTAAATTATGATAAAGTAACATTATTTACAGGAGATTCGGTTTGAGGATGTTGATGAGATAGCAGAGAGGAAATCCATTGCGCCAAGAGGATGTCAGGTCCACTATGTGTACCGTTCTGAATGTTCCCGTGTTTAACAGCTTCTGACACCACCGTAGTAACGTGTAGCTGTCCACAAAGTCATCTGTAACAAACAGATCCACAGTCTAACTCACCAAACAGCAGGAGTCATGAACATGGGAAAAAATCAGTTTATAGTATAAAAGTTCATTTCTATGATCCTATATAATACAGTAGACAATCAGGGATAGCAACTATCAATATTTCATTCATCTAGTAAAACATGTACTAAAGTGAAGCCTGACTTTATTGAATATATAGAAGCTAGTTTTAAAACAGAGGAAGTATGAATTTTCATAATATTTGGAAGATTTGATGTGCCCATTAGACAAAAACTGAGAACAACTTTTTGAAGTTACCTGCGGTAAGCTTTTGTGTCATCCACTGAAAATACTATTGGTCACTATGTAGAAAATTCAACAGCGATCACACAGTGCAATATTATCTATTTTTAGAAACCTCTGTCGCATAACCTTTTCCCTAACAGACATTGAAGGCTTCTCACCATTTCTAGCCCGCTTTGCAGGTATATCAATGATCTCGTCCATGTTCGTACCATCACCACAGTCATACAGGTGTCGCAGTTGCTCAGGTATAAGGGCTTTGGAATTTAAGTTGGGATACCTGTTTGGAAAAATCAAATCAATTAACATATGTTACACCAAAAAATGCACTTGTTACTGGAAATTACACCAGAAGTAATGTTGGTCCGTAAACTTTGACCTCTATTAAATCTCTATATGTCCTAATACTGGTAAGTTAGAA